TTTTTTGGTTCTTAAGATACGTGTATGCATTCTCAAATGATGAGATTTACATATCTTTTTGTTGGCCACGAGATTTTTTTTCATTGTCAATTGAGATGTAATGGAAGATTGTTCAATAATTATATTAGAATTTTTCTTTATTGTTTTTTTTTAAAATTTTTTTCGAAGATGCTATTGGGACACATTGAAACGTCCGTACAAAAAAGAACTAGTTTAGACACTTAAAAGCGTCTCAATTGGAAACATTTATTTGGACACTTAAAAGTGTCTCAATTGGAAAATTTTATTTGGACACTTAAGAGTGTCTCAATCGGAAACATTTAACGGGACGCTTCAATCAAACGGGACACTTCTTTGCGTCCCATAGACCTAATATGACATTGAGCTGGAGGACACTCTTGCATGTGTCCCAATAGTCGATACGTACATATTGGGACACTTTTGAGCGTCCTTACATGACCTTTTTGTAATAGTGCTATTTTGTAATGTCCTACGCAATGTGAATCACATGTGTCCTATTACACCACTTATTGAGACACAAAAAAGTGTCTAAACTACTTATTTTTGTTGTAGTGACGTGATATTGACATTCTGCAACATAGAACTACCTGAGATCGGACTGCTTTGGAAGCCAGGATATGATTATAGAACCATGTAACAGCTTGAGACTGTGTATCTTCCGTGAGTTGTGTAGTGCCACCTCCAAAAGTCTTTCTCTGCAGTCAAACTCAGCCGGATACTGACTACCAAATTTGCTTCATCAGGCCAGAACAAATGGTTGATGAGGACTGAGTGACATGTTCCTGTTCCATTTTCAATGAGGGAGTCTACTGTGCATTTTCCGGCAAAAGGCATCTTTGGACTGACTATTTTAAAAGAGAATGGTTCGGGAATCCAGGGATCATTCCATATATCAATTGTAGTACCTTTCCCAACTCTCTTACGGCATCCACTCTAGAGTGCATTTCGTCCACGTAGTATGCTTTTCCAACTAAACAACAGACGTGAACCAAGCTCGGCATTCAAAAGATCACAATCTAGAAAGTAGCGGGCCTTCAATACATGGAAAAGAAGTGAATTAGTGAGAAGCTGCCAAGCCTGTTTACCTAGAAGGGAAAGATTAAACAATTTCAGATTTTTGAACCCTAATCCCCCATCTTGTTTTGGTCTACATAGAGATTCCCAGGTGTTCCAGTGTATTTCCCTTTTTGTTTTTGAGTCTCCCCACCAGAAGGATGCAAGGATGGCATAGATTTCATTGCATAAAGTTTCGGCAGCTGAAAACAACTCATTGCATAAGTCGGGATCGCTTGAGTAACCGATTTGATTAACACTTCTTTGCCTGCTTGCGAAATACTTTTTTATGCAAAACCTTCAACCTTGGCTCGCACTTGGTCCTTGATGTCACTGAATATCTCCTTTTTGCATCTTCCCACAACTGAAGGTAAGCCTAGATATTTTCCACGGGATTCTGTCCGTTTGATTCCAAGTCTAGCTGCCAATTGAGTTGCCACTTCGTTTGGAGTGCACGGGCTGAATAACACCGCCGACATATCTAGGTTTATGAGTTGTCCCAAAACAGATTCATAAAGATGAATTATGCTTGAGAATGCATCTATCTCCAAGGCAGTTGCTCTCCCACATAGAAGCGTATCGTCGGCGAAAAAGAGATATGTGATACTTGGGGCTGATGGCGCGACTTGTAGTCCTCTCAAGTTTCCACAACGTTGCACTTCCTGTATCATCAGAGAAAAAACTTTCACGCAGATAATAAAAAGATAAAGTGGATCCCCTTGTCTTATACTTTTTTGCGGGGTGAGGGAGCTGAATTCCTGTCCATTTAGCAAAAAAGAAGGATGTGGAAGTTATGCATTTTTCAATTAGTGTTATGTAGGAGGGGCTGAATCCAAGGGCATTCATGACTAGTAGAACAAATTTCCATTCTACTCTATCGAACGCCTTACTCGTGTCAAGTTTTATTGACATGAGACCTTCTTTTCCTCCGATTTTTTTACAAATCTCATGGTGGAGTTCTTGTGCAATCATGATATTATCAGTAATTAATCTTCCTGGCCAAATGCCGATTGTGATTCAGAAATAACATGAGGCCGAATTACCTTCATTCTATTTGCAAGACGTTTTGAAATTATTTTGTAAGTAACATTGCAAAGAGAAATAGGTTTAAATTGTGAAATGAGCTTGGGGGTTTTTATTTTTGGAATGAAAACTAGATGTGTGCAATTTATTTTTTTTGTCAAAAGCACCATGATTCAAAAAATTTAGAATGTAAAAACAACATCTTTACCAATTAAAGACCAAAATTTTTGAAAAAAATAGGGGAGGCATACCATCCAGATCGGGGGATTTGGTCGGGTGCATTTGGTTCACTGCTTTTCTGATTTCCTGTGCTGTGTTCGGTTGCTCAATCTCTGATTGAACTCTCTCGATACTTTTGGTCTGATTAGAGATAAGACGAAATTTAAGTCGTCCTGATGGATAGATTTGGCAGTAGAAAGCTCCCGAAAGTGATCTACAATTATCTTTTCTAACTCCACTTCCTCAATACACCAGATGCCTTGATTGTTTTCCAACCCCTTGATTTCATTGGTTTCCTTTCTTTTTGTTGCATAAGCATGAAAAAACCTGGTGTTTTTGATCACCTTCTTTGTGCCAGTGTAGCTTCGATCTCTGTCTCCATTTATCATCTTCTTCTGTTAAGAGGCTTTCCAATATTAACTTTTTCTCGTTTAGGGTTTCATAGGCTCGGTCATCTAGCACACCTTGTTGTATACCTTCAATTTTAGTTTTGAGATTTTCGATTTCTTTTCTGTTGGCCTTCGGATAATTCTTGTCCCAATTTATTAAACCAATTGCGCAATTGCTGATTTTTCCCAGGAGATCATTGTCTTCATTTGTCCACGAGTTTTTTATGGCCGCTTCTATGTCTGAATGTCGTATCCAGCATGATTCAAATATGAAACACCGCTTGTTCTTTTGTTTTCTCCAGTGTCGATGGCATGGTTGCTGCACCACTAAAATTGGTAGATGATCATAAAGATGGCTGAAAAGATGAAGAACTTTTGATTTCGGGAATCTTTGTCTCCAAAGATCATTTCCACATGCTCTATCTTGGCAAGCTTTTACTGTATCAGGGAATTTCCGATTTCTGAACCACGTATACATAGACCCATCATGGCCTAGATCATCCAGCATACAAGCTTCGAGTGCTTCTCTAAACGTTGTAAGTTGCCATTTGGGTCTCAATCTACGACTGTGGCTTTCATTGTGGTTGAGAATCTCATGAAAGTCTCCCAGACAAATCCATGGAATAGCACTGCTTGAATAAAGGTTTTGGAATTGATTTCACGATGATCGCCTGTGTGAAGTATCAGGTTCTCCATAATATCCAGTCAGTCGAAAGAGTTTCAATGGATCAGAAGGGTACACTAAAGCATCAATATAACGGGAATTGAAGTCTTTTATTTAAACAGGGATATCTTTATTTTTTAGTAATCCTAATCCACTGGATTTACCGATTGATTCTACACTAAAACCAGACATGCGGAAACTGCGCTTTATTTATTTGAATTGAAAAGCAGAACATTTTGTTTCACAAATAAAAATTAAAGAGGGTTTATTCCTTTGTACAAGCTCTCTGAGTTCTCTGACTGCTCGAGGATTCCCAAGTCCTCGGTAGTTCCATGCTAAGATACTCATTTATATCGGCGGGACATATTCTAGTCGGTCTCCACTGCTGGTTCATTTTTCTTGTTAGTATTGTACCCTTTCTGTGGTGTGGATTTGGTTTTAGCTGGTTGTGGTTGTTCTGCCTACGATAGAGGTTTCAGTTTTTTGGGCGTGGGGAGGAGAGGTGGAAGGTTTTCTTTTGAGACAGGTTCATTTGGATTAAACAGTTTGCGTTTTGGTAAGGGAGAGGCTGGATTAGTTTGTAGTGGAAGTTTCCTAGTTGACCCGGTACGGGTTCGGGGTAAGGGTGGGGTGTTGGATATGCTGATTTGGCGGTTGGGTCTGTTTGGGGTTATGTTTTCCTGGTTAGGGTTCGCGGTTATTCGGGATTGATTTTGTGGAGGTGGTTCTTCGGCTTGAGCTTGCTTTTAGGTAGTTGGTTGAGGTGATTTTAGTGTAGTTGGGACTAGGTTGTTAAGGCTTTTCTTTTCACTGATTTTCGGGTTATACTCAGATTTGAACTTAGATCATAGTTAAACGAGGATATTAATTACCCTTTGTTCACCGTTTAAAAAAAAAACCTTTGATCGCAAAATATTTTCTTATACATTTAGCGATCCAATTGGCAAAACAATTTGTCACTAAGTATTTTATTCTGGTTAATTAATAAAAATAAATTATGTATCAGTCTGTTGATGTTACCATTATGAAATTTCACTAAAACATGTGACTGCTTTTATAAAAGATTAGAGTAATCAAATAATGTACGAAATTCTATTACGTTGACATATCTATTATATTCACAATAAAAAATGTATTGCTGAATATCTCAACTTTTGGTGGCGGGTAGTGACTTTATTTTTTATTATTCTTCTCAACTTTTGGTGGCGGGTAGTGACTTTATTTTTTATTATTCTCTTCATGACATATCTATTATGCCACTCTTAAGATTTCAAATATTTATTAATTTTTCGATTTTTATTTTTTAAAGTTGTTTTTTTTCTTTTCCGCGAAAAAGTGTTGTAGAAAACCCAAATAAAGCTACGAATTCCCGAATGCACGAAGATTCCCGCTTTCCTTCCAAAATCTTGAAATTCAAAAATTCCCGTGTGAAAGAGATCTTCCACGTGGCTATCTTTAATTGGTTCTTTATCACACATGCGGATTGCAATCTGTAACTCAACCTCCTTCACATTTTCACCGTTGATTATTTTTCCAATCCAACGTACCCAAATTCGTCCCCAATTCAAAACCCACCACCAAAAACCCCATTATATTCCCTATATAAAATCCCATCTGCACCATTTTTCTGCAATTCAAGCCGTTAATTATTCATCAAGTTGAAATTCAGATCTCTTATTTTCTACTGAGATTTTAAGCCCTTTTTTTGGTGGAATCAAATGGCGCGTACGAAGCAAACTGCTAGGAAGTCTACCGGAGGAAAGGCACCAAGGAAGCAGTTGGCCACCAAGGCGGCTCGGAAGTCGGCGCCGGCGACCGGAGGAGTGAAGAAGCCCCACAGATTCCGCCCTGGAACTGTTGCCCTGAGGGAAATCAGGAAGTACCAGAAGAGCACTGAGCTCTTGATCCGTAAGCTGCCGTTCCAGAGGCTGGTGAGAGAGATTGCCCAGGATTTCAAGACGGATCTGAGGTTCCAGAGCTCCGCCGTGGCGGCGCTGCAGGAGGCTGCTGAGGCTTACCTTGTCGGACTTTTCGAGGATACTAATTTGTGCGCTATTCATGCTAAGAGGGTTACCATAATGCCCAAGGATATCCAGCTTGCCCGGAGGATTAGGGGCGAGAGAGCTTAAGGGATCTGTTCCGTATTAGGGGTTTGTTACTTTGTTATGATTGGGATGTTAGGGGATTTGGTTATTGGGATTAAAGATGTAAATTTCAAGATGGGTATGTATTAGTTTTTTGGATTGCAATGAAAGTTGAATTATGAAGTTAGTATATGCTTCCTTTTATTAGTTTGTTTCTGTTGTCATGGATAAGTGTTCGAAGAAATTGAAGGATTTAGATAACTGCTATTTTATCCCTTGAATTGGTTTGATGTTATATGGTTAATTAGTTTCTCATGACTTTGAGATTGTGTTATGGTAAAAATACAATGACAGTTTGCCTCAATGTATCAAATATTACAGTAAGGTAGTTTGTGAATTTTTTGGTGGTATCTGAGGCTGTATTGGTACAATGGTAACTGATTCAATCACTTGTTCTGTAATCTGCTTTATTTTTTGGAAGTAATCCGGCTTGACTGCTACTTTGTTCTGTTCTTCTGTGGACAGAGTGGTGTTGTTTAGCATAAGTAGGCAAAATATGACAGCATTTCTTTCTACAGGGCAGTAGCTTGCACACAGGCCACTGGCATGATTGATTTATCTGCCTTCATCAGTATAATGTAAAAGAAGACACGATTGATTGGCAACCGAATGTGATCATGTTAAATCCAGGAATGATAGGTACCATCCTGAAGAGAAGTATATCAGTCCTTAGTTGGAGAAGAATGGTTATTTTAGTTGCGACAATGCCGATTCAATCCCTAATCGTGTTTTCCCGCAAAGCTAAGAAAGAAATCTTGTGAGAGATCAAATTCAGCCAGTAACCAGCGGCACACTCACCGCCACCACCCCACCACCGACTATAGTTCTGAAGGCTGTGGCTGTTGAGAATCAATGGTCAATCTCATCATTGTTGGCTCATTTATTGTGATTACTATTCTACATGATCATCGTCCAGTGAACTTTTTCTCTTTTCAATTGTATCCTCTTATGATCTCCTTAGCTGAGCTGAGTTCTGGCAGAGCTAAAATGGTCAGTTCGCAAAAGAGGGAAGTGCCAGCTTTTAGGCATATTTATCACTGAGGACTCAATTTAACCAACTTTTTCAGGTAAAACATCTCTTCAGGTAAAGCACCGTAAAGAAGATTTGATTCAAGGCCAAATTCCTCCAAAGAACCACTACAGTTGCCAAGTCCAGGTGCAAGATTCCCAGAGAAATAGTTCGTTCCCGTATTCAACACCTGAAGTTTTGTTTAACTGCTACACATTCCCATTGGAACAGGACCCGAAAACGAGTTCTCAGAAATGTCGAAACTCGGAGAGAAGGAAGGCTTATGCTGGCTGGAAACAACCCGGAAAACTCATTGTAACTCAAGTCTAAAACCTCTAAGTTTGGCAGATGCAACAACGTTGAAGGAATCGAACCTTTCAGGGAATTTTCGAAAGGTTGAGTGCCATGAGCTGATCCAAATTGCCCAAAGACTCTGATAAATTTCCAACTAACCTTCTCCCAGTCACTTCAAATTTAACCACCCTAACATAAGAATCATTCAATCCAAGTGACCAAGATGAATGGCATGTTATTCCAACCCAATTGCAGCAATCAGAAGAAGAGGAAATTACATCCCAACTAGCTAAATCACCTGTAGAACCCAATTCCAACTCATTATAGAAATCCACCAATGCTTTCATATCCCTTTGGCTGCAGGTGATGAAATTCTTAGAAGAAAAACTTGATGAAGATAAGATTAGGAATTAAAGTATAATACATATTGCCTGGAAACCTCTCATCTCTTACTCAATCAAAGGATCTTGAGTTCACAATTATGCGAGCATCCAAGAAAACTAGCAAGCTAAAAAAAAATAAATGCAGCAATAAATGGTGAGGAGAAGAAAAATTAATATTTTTCGGAGATCAGGAAAAGTTGGTGCATAGAAACAAGAAGACGGAAGAGTGGAAAATGGTTAGTCAGTCGCGCGGTAAACGTTTGCTATGTTGAAATATTAACATTACAGTGTGCCATTTGCAGATTTATTATTTCATCCGTCCTCATTTTAATTAATATAAACACTATTCTATTTTTTTATTTGATACTTTTTCTATCCCTAAAAAAAATTCACTATGAATTTTAAAATCCATATTGTAAAAGATATTATAGTTTGTTCAACTGCGCAACAAAGTGAACAGCATGAAATATAGTACTCTCTCCGTCTCATAATTATTGTCCAGTTTGGGTTTTCATTTTTAGTTCAAATTGTATTATAAGTGAAATCTCAAACTGAACAATAATTATGGGAAGAGGAAGTAGAATAGAGTGGACAATCGAAAAGAGAGATTGAAGGATTAAATTAAATCACTCGACCTATTTTTTTCCCCTTTCTTTATCATCACTTGGCGGTTTACATATTTATTCTAGACTTTCAGACTAATTTCATAGTGCAGCTGCTATACTACGTAGGATTGTGCAGCCAGACACAATAATAGAGATAAAATAATTATTTTGGAGGGAGAAAAATAATTTCTAAGAGAATCATACTATCAAATATGGGTGCCAGTACTTACAGCACTAAAAACTAGGGTATAGTAGCTGTACCCAATATTTTTTCAATTTGGTAAAGCATGGACAGCCCCATTTCTCGGGAAGTCATGGATAAAGTTCGACTTGACCAATTCCAAGTCAAGTCTAACACTTTGACAACTCCGTAAAAATAAAAGACAAAAAAAAAAAAAAACCTCTTTTGCTCTCTAACTTTTGGACGATCTGAATTAGTGGAACAATTATTTCGAACACTAAATTAAATCAAAAGATTCTCAAATATTAATTGCGGTTTTTAGTCTTTTGATTAAGAGCATCTACAATGACAGTAAATAACAAGTAAATTACCACTTTATTATACGATTTGTCATTGTGTTGAGCGTAATAATATTATACGGTGTAAGAATTCTTACACCGTATAATACACTTTTTTGTATTAAAATGTAATTGATGTGTATTTATGATGATACTAAAACTATTTCATTTTATTGTACTTTTACAGTGTAAATGAATATAGTGAAAAGTGGAATAAAAGTATAATATCGAAAATTTATGACATTATACTCACAATAGTGTAAACCATTATGGATGCTCTAAGTTTGCATGACAAAACATTTTGAGTAACAATTGTTCTTCTGTGAATATCCATGCATAATCAGAAGAGACTTGCATTTTTTTTTTTTCCCGTTTTCATGGCTAAACATTCTCATACTTCCTCTGTCCCAAATTAGTGATTGTATTATTTGAATTTTTATTTTTAATTTAATTATTATTAAAAAAGCTAAAATAAAAAATCCAAGTCGGACTATCGTGTCAAAATGGAAAGGGGCAAAGGGCACTAATCTTTTTGGTTCTGCTTTGTGCTTTTCATGTTTTATTTTTTACATACTAAGGAGTAAGTTTTAAACCATCTTTCGAGGCACCATAATGGGATAATTGTTACCTTGGATTTTCAATCAAAAAAGAACTAAAGGTAAGTGGAGGGCTAATTGTGTGTGTGTGTGTTGGGGGGTTTGTGGTGTTTGGAGTGGAAGACTGACGTCTTCAACATTGAAATTCTTCGTTCAATATTCAACTTACCATGCGGGACTAAGAATACTATTCCTGTCTCGAAAACTAATCCACTTTAAATTTTAAAACTTGTATAAATCTAATGTAGATATTTTGTTAGGACAAAAGAGAGTATCAAATAAATATTTGTCCTTTACAGTAAAAAACAAAAACCTACTTGACCTATACTTATGGTTATTTATTCGATAAAGAGAAGAAATAGCTGCATATGTTTAATAAACTATCACCATTCTAAAATGAAACTATGGTATCAAATTAACTATTATCTATACATACGTTTTCCACTCTCTTTTTAAATTTGTCCCAAAAGACAAAAAAAGGAAAAGAAAAGGCAACAATGACAACTCCTTTTCTTCCATAGTATACAATGAAAGAATTATGTTGAACAACCAGGTTAGTTAATTGCTCAATCTGAACAGTATAGAAGAAAATTAATGATAGCTAGCTCATGTAGACTAGCACCGATATTGAAAAATGAAAAGTAAAGTAGTTACTATTATTATTATTATTTTATTATTTATTTTTTGGTTTTTTGGTGGGTGTTGGTTGAGCTGATTCATCTGACATCTAAAACAGTTTTATAAATCATTACATTCTGTGCGATGAGAATGAGAAACTGACGGAGCATGGTTCACTTGTAAAAAACTACGTACTGCCTTGAGAATTTTTCATCTTTACAATACGAGTAATGGTTTCTAATTTCTCAAACTTTTATTTTCTTTAGACCTAACAAAGGATGTGGTTCGAAATCATAATCCTTATTTATGATTCACAAAATCGTAATCAAAACAGTAACCTAAACTGTTTTTATAAGTAGAAAAAGAAAGGTTTATATGCACATGAAGTGCCATCATTTTAGTTGAAAACAAAAATATATTAGATTTGTCCTGAAATTATTATCCAGTTTAATTTTTATTTTTAGTTTAAATTATACTACAAAAAAAATTTCAAACTCGACAATAATTTTGGGACAGATGGAGTATTTGGATTTGAGGCACCTTCATCAATATTGTATGGTTGACTCTCTTATGTTCAGTGGCGGAGCCAGAAATTGAAGAGAGTAGGTGCGAAATTTTTTTAAAAAAATAATGTACTGAATTTTTTTTTTTAAGAAGGCAAAACTATGAACTTATGCGAGGCATTTGAAATAGAGACGTCTTTTCTTCATCTTGTCAAAATCCTCAATAAGTGTATCTATCTCAAATTTCTCCACAATCTCTTTCTTAATATAAAGTATATCATACAGCCGAACATAAACTTATCCTCCATTGTAGCGTAATTCGGTTTTGATGAGTTTCATAGCTGAAAAGGCACGCTCTGCAGAAGCTGTAGAAACAGGAAGCGTCAAGACAAGACGAATCAACCGATCAATTAGATAATAGTTCCCCATAATTAGAACTAAGTCACCTGTATAAGAAATACATTAACAGTTTAATTATAAATATAATAGAAATATGGAATGATCAAGTCTATGATATCCAAACAAAAGATTTATAAAAACAGATTCAATTTAAGTTTGGAATTTTTTTACCCCCTAATACTACAAAAAGCATAATCTAAAGCTTCAAGTTCTTTTTGGCCAAACTGATTTTTTTTTCATAAATTAAGATATCAAGCACCTCAAAATGATTCTTGTTTTTAATCATACAACATAAATTTTACATATCCAGTCAACAGATCCCCTAATAAGTAGTAATGTTAGTTTATAAAACGATTAAAACTTAAAAACTTCCTATCGTGGGGTAGAATAGATGCATCACCAAAGAATAAATTCACAGTTTCACACATCACAATCCTAAGTGCTAATATGTCTATGTTTAAATTCTGGAATGACAATAAATAAATAGCAAAATTTACCTAAAATCGGAATTAAAATCTTGAAAAAAATTGGAATGAATGGGCCAATTTTGGGGTTTGACTTTGGCCGTTTGGGGAAGCTTTTCTACTGCTACTGCCTACTGCCGCTCTTTGTTAAACTTAAGAATTATAATTTACTTTTTTTTTAAAGGATTTTTTTAGTCTAATTAAAAAATATTTAATAGGGTTTAATTTGGATTATTCTATTACTGGGTTTGGACTTTCGTACATAGCACAAACCTGTCTTCTAAATGTGGTTTGGATTTTTTTTTTTTACTTGAAATTCATTTAACCAGTATTTCTTTCTTTATTATTATTTTTTTTTTGCAAACTTTCTTTCTGTAATAATTTTTTTTATTAAACTTTAAATATAATAATGCTTCAAAACATAGTTTGGATTTATATATATAAAAAAAATTATTTTCTTGTATGTCATTACAAAAAATTTTAAGGGGGTGAGAAATTAATTTTTTTTTTCCTATACAAAAATATATACCCTCTAAAAAATTTAAAAACGGCGGCTGGCCCGCCTCCCTCCGCCTCTGCTTATGTTCCACCAAAACAATTCACTTTCCTTATCATGCATTAGTCAACAAACTAATAGCAAAAGGACGTGAGGATCCCGTAAGATTAACAAAACAAAGCATACTCTTTCTTTCTTTTTTTTTTAAGGGGTACAAAGCATATACTTGTTGAAAGAACAGAAATCATGTCCATTCATACATGCCCAAAAATGAGAAATTCATTGAAACAAGGAAAATGGGACTGATGCGTTATCGATCGGTAGTATTGCAATCAGATTTTCCTGATGTTGATCTCAACCCCATCAAGAGGTTTTTGATGAGGTAAATAAGCCAGTCCTGCATTGGGGTTCACCAATTCCCACCTGAAATAATCAATCTCCCAAAATTAGAAATTTGCATTTTTCCAAAAAAAAAAAAAGAAGAAAAGAAATAAAGTAACAAAATTTAACGCAGTGTTCTGGAGATAAATTAATTCGTAATTAATTTGATGAAAACTTACTCGTATCCTTGAACTAAATGGTGAATAAATATGGCAACTTGCAACCTAGCAAGCATGTTGCCTGCACATATTCTTGATCCTCCCCCAAATACCATGTATGATCCTGGCTTGGGTGGTTCCTGATTGCACATTATAGATACCGAGCAAAATCTCAATAATAATCATAAAAATGTAACGTATCAATTAAAATGTTACCCAATATAGAACCAGAAAGTATCTCCATTTCCGAGATAAGAGTTTTTTTTTAAAGAAAAAAAAATCTATAACAATATTATTAATAAACAATTCTCATATTTTGGGACAAAAAAATTATTATCATGTACAATGACCTTCGAGGAAAATATTTACCCATACAATGGGTTGTTTTACAAAATGAGACGGATCAGCTAAGATTACAATGTCAGTGTGCTTAAAATTACTAATGCAATGGATTGTGGTACAAGATGAGAACCAACCCAAATAATGCCTGAAATATCTAATTAGATTGTCTTAACAAATTGATGCTGGTCAATCCTTTAACTCATCATAATATGATCATAAGCTTGTTGACTAAAAATATCGCATGAAATTGGTTTTTTTTTTTTAATCATATCGCTTTTCAAAATGAAACTTTCCAAACAATTTTTGTAGTTGGTTTATTACCGACGTTATGTTATAATTTTGATTATTATTAAGCATATGCCTCCTTTATTGTTTATAAAAAAAAACTTTCATAGTTTCTTTATTTTAAAGACTATATTTATCGATTTAATCAAATGACAATTTAAAATAAATTAAGAATTTTAATTGAAACGTCTTAAATGCTGGGTACTTAATTATTATATGTGTTAAAATAACAAAGGCTAAAAAAGAAATAGCATGTTTACTTACATTCCATCTGTCAGGATTAAAGCACAAAGGATCTTCAAAATTTTCAGGATCTGTATGATGGTATCGAACCCAACACATAACCGTCCATCCTTTGGGTATTCTGAATCCTGAAAGAGTTCCCAATTTTATTACAATTAGCAAATTAAACATATTTACATAGGGCTTGTCACTACAGTCTAAGTTTCTTACATATATACGTTTGCGAAAAAATAAAAGAAAAGAAAGAGTTGGTTTGTCAAGCTAGCTAGATGAACAACATTTTCAAAGTCTTCTTTTATTCGTCAAGAAGTGCATGAGTACTAAACTCTTATTTTAAAATATTATTATTTCAGTCTCGAAATAATTGTCTTATCACTTATGTACCAAACATAACAATAAGTTAAGACAGAATCATGTAAAGGATCGGACAAAGTAGAGTGTTAATGTGTGCACAAGGCATTAATGAGTGTCTCACAATATGATCTCTATTAGGCCTTTTATTAGAATTCTCTCTTCATTAAACCTTTATGTGTGAAAGATACATTGTGTTTGTTTTAAAGTAAGAAGCTAACAGAGATTAGGTAAGAAATCTACGGACACCTTTGTAGTCAACATCATTTCTAGCTTTGCGGAAAATAATAGAGGCTGTATTGGCCAATCTTATAGTCTCTTCTACCACCTGCGGCTCAAATAACAATTCAGATATAAGATGTTATTTTCCTCTCAAAAACATAGTCTTGTTTCTAATAAAATTAATAATTTCTGAAAGAAAAAGTGAAAAATAAAGAAATCAGAAGGAATTAAATAATGCAACATAATCATTTTTTGGGGGGGGGGGGGGGGGGGAATCGGGAGACTAGGTATTACTCCTTCTGTCCCAAAATTATTAATGAACTTTTACTTTTAGTCCAATTTGTCTTAAAAGTAAAATTTTAATTTGGACAATAAATTTGAGACGGAGGAGATATAGCGTCGTTGCACCTTTGTAGTATATTGCAATTTTTGTATGTCATCACTAGTTACGTATTGATCTCCATTTGTGCAAATAGATGAATGCTCTTCCTGCAATTAGGGTTTTTGGAAAATCGACAAACAAATCAGAATAAATATCTCGGAGGACAATTAGAAATAATGAATTCTGTTTTTTTTTTTTTTAAAAAAACTTTTCCTCTCTTCCTTGTTAGAGTTCAATCAGTTACTTATCTGAACAGGGAATGATACAATTAAATTAAATACAACGGAAGAAATGTGTTTTTCTTAACACCATTAGTATCATACCTGAAGCTTTCGTATAACACTTGGATACTTAGCCAGATAATACAAAGCCCACATTATGGAAATGGAAGTAGATTCATATCCTGCAACCACAAGGCTCACAATGTTATCTACCACCTCTACATCACTCAATTGCTTTCCTTCTTCATCTTTTAGGTTCATTAGTCCATCCATTAGATCATTTCTAGTCTTCTGTGAAGCAAATCCATCTCTGTGCTTGTCCAACTCCTCTTGGAAAATGGCTACAGCCTTCTTTCGACACTGTTCAATCATTAACACAAATTGGACATGTGTGCTTAGTTCTCATGTTTGATAAGCATCTAATATGTAATGTATATTTTTTCGTCCAAAAAATAAAAATTATATTTATCATGTTATTTTAATGTTACAAATCTAACCCTTATTTTATACCTGATAATATCATTCTGCTGAGTAAATCGTGGTGTTTGTTTGAAAGAGACACTCTAACTAGTAGTAATTACTACTCAATAATATAATCCTTTCAATTCAATTTAAACAATGCTTAATTCTTCCAAAATCTTCCAAAATCTTCCAAAATCAGTACGTATCAGAGTTAGATCTCAAGTGATGTTGGTCTTTACAGGTGTTTTTGTACATAATTTTATACTACTATTCAATTACAAAAAAAATTCATAATATAATTATGAAAGTGAATTAATTGTTTTGTGCGTCATGGAAGTATCACATTAATGCGACGTAATTAGTCTTAAGGATTAACGTTAACACATCACAATCTCTAAATTTTTGTATTTAGTATATTACCTAAGTTCCACGTACGTAAAATAGTGTGTCTTCTAACTTTATTTAAAGGACACTGACACTTCTCTCCAACCCTTTGTTCTTGTCTTCTGTTAATCAAACTAGTAAGTAGAAATAACATTTTGCTTTTTCACTTCAATTTTAATGTTATTTCACTTGTCGATTTGACAAAATCTACGTAACTAAACGCCTCGTCCCCTTTTATATGTACGCAAATGGACATTGACGTTCTTTTGTCTCCTTTGAATAATGCTAGTTTGAAAGACGTCATAGTAATTCAATTATTATTTTATAGATAATTACAACAAGTTAATTACTAAAATTATTAGTTCGGGAAAAGATTAACCTGGATAGCATGATGATAAGCTGTTCCAGGTAAATTGATAGGAAAACTTCTGATGCCTTTAACCATTCCTGCAAAGAGCTTGTCAAGGACATCTAATTGGGTACCCGGTTCAATGCTCACGAAGTAATTCCCAATGTTCTCAAACGTGACCTATACATGACCAAAAACATAAAAAAGAAAAAAACTTATTAAAATTTAGAGAAGTACGCTTGAATGTGTGGTATATGTCTTATCATATACTTCGTCCGTCCCAAAATAATTGTTCAAATTGGACAATTATCTTGAGAAACAAAGGGAGTAACATTTATCCCCCGACAAAAAAAAGGAATATCATATCAGGATGTGTCTGAATAATTTTCATCTATTTTGAATTTTTGAGTGATACAATCCAAGCTAAAATCTTGGAGGGAAATATGTTAAGCGTTTAGCATAATGATTTTTAATAATGATATTCCTTTTTATTAGTAGTGATGATTCCAAGTATAATAATCAACTTAATTAATGGATCAATAAGCGCCTTTTGAATTCTTAGAAAATAATCAACTTAATTAAGGGTTCATTATCACCTTCTTAGCTTCGTGGTATCCAAGAATCCTGCCCTTTTTAGCCCAAGTTTGGAGTGCATGAACTATACGAGGTTGAACCATTTCAGCGATTCTACGAAGAGCATCCGGCTGATTTGTGGTTTTCACAACAAGGCTTCTGATTCTTGTGTGTGATTCTCCATGTACGGCCACTAATGAACTTTTGCCTACGATTTCCACCGCCGGCCATTCCAACTGAAAATTCGCTTCCGACTGAAAAACAAACTTGTTGGCTGCCGGAGAGCACACGATGATGGCCGGCGATCCGAACAGATGCGTTCTATACAATCCTCCGGTTCCACCGTACCTGAAATTTACGTTTGGGAAGATTCATTATTAGTGTAAGTTCTAATTATACACATTCAATGAAAAATTCATAGGCGCTTTTTAATAAAGTAATAATTGGTCGCTAATGTGAATTATAATTCATGAATCACAAAAATGAAGCCAATATCGGATTGTCAAGTTAGTCCTTTAGATGAATAATTCTTAATTAGTAATCATTAATTCAAAGATACATTTATACGTGTGAAGCTTCTAAAGATAAAAAAAAAAAAAAATTGCATGAAAAAAGAATTTGGTTATGGAAGAGTAATTACTTAGCTCGTTTTGCATTGATGAAGTCATCGGGGCCACCTAGAAACTTGAAATAATAGAGGAAATTAAACATTTCGCCGATGAAGGGAAATCCCATGTAGCCAGGAGGAAGTGGAGCTCTACTGCGACGGCCACCGCCGGCTGATGAACACCGGAAAGTTGCCGGAAGAGCGTAGATGATGTCATTCCAATAATAGAATAGACACCCAAGAAGTAAGATGCCCAAACCGACTATTGCTACCACCATTTTGGAAACTGAACACGTAAGTGTGTGTTTTTGGAAAGTCTAAATTAATTGGTTTCCCTAAGTTGGAAAGTTTGGGTGCTTTATATAATATATGCAATAGGGTAATCAGTAATCAGATGAAACTGATGCTTTGGAGATTATTCGAGTATAGTAGTGCCGCAAGATGACAAGTTAACGGGGAAGATATCAATAATTCTGGGATCAAATGAAAGAGACGAATATCTAATTTTGGCATGCGTATTTCAAGAGTTTGATTGATCATCAAGGATTCTTCTCAAAGATTGGATATTTTTAATATTGTATTGTTTCTCATTTGCTCGCAATTTTGAAAACGTTAAAAGAATGGTCCCATGAACAAAACGAACATTAAACTAGAGACTTGTGATTGTTTATTAGTATTAAAGATCTTTAGCTATAATTGTACGTACTACTCTTTATCAAACATTATTTCAGTGTTGAGCTAAGTTGTCAAGTGTTCTGTTATAGTATTAATTAGGGGTTTTAGTGTTGAGAAAACCATACATCAGAATGAATAAGTGCAAAAGGCGAAGTAGCATGTGACAAAGACGACTCAAAGGATAAACGCACATGTTTCCCTAATTGACAAACATATATATAGTGTTTATGGTTACAATGATATTACAACAATACCCCTAGTCTAACCCTAAAAATACATACATTAACACTTAATAGATGACATTTTTCAGTTTTTAATTTAAGTTGCTAAAATTCGAAAAGAGATTTCAACGTTATTGTAATATTTAGTATATTTCCTATTATGTCCTAGATTAGGGTTTGTTATTGTCTATATATAGTCTGTATATTGTGCACAATACATGATGAATCAAATACAATTTCCCTATTCTAAGTTGGTATCGAGCTAGGTTTAAAACAACCAAATTTTTTTTCCTCCCCTTTCTTTTCTCTTCCCCGCCGCCGCTGGTTTTTTTTGGCCAATTGTTTTTTTTCGGTCGTCAGCTTGTTTGTCTCCACCATCGCCCAAAATCCGTGGCTTTCTTTAGCCGGCGCTTCCTTAATTGTCGTGAGTTCTTTTTTTTATTATTTTTCCTGCTGCTGCGGTTTTAATTCCTTTCGGCCGTGTGCTTCTTCTTCTCCCCGTCGACCAACCTCAGCATCACCGGCGTGTGCTCCTTCCTCTCCTCTTTCAACTTCGTGCTATTGCTGCCGCCGGTCGTCTTCGTCGGCGTTCTTCCTTCACTTGCGTCTGCTGCTACTGCTGTTCTTCTGTCAGTCCGCCGGCCGCCGTTGCTGTTCTTCGGTTGCTGCCATTGCTTCCTGCCGTTGCTGTCGTTTCCGGCCGCCGTTCACATCAGGCTTCTTGCTGCCGCTAATTGAGCTTTTCGGTTGCTGCTTTGCTACTGTAGTTTGCTGTTGTTGCTGGTGTTTGGATTATACCAAAAAAAAAAACATTAAAAAAAAAAAACCACTTGGGCTTTATTAAGTCTTGCTTGCTTACTTTCAACGATGACTATCCCCGACCTTTCATCCACCGACCAGGCTACCCAGCTTCGGCTGGCAGCACCTTCTTCACAGACACCAGTATCACTTCTTCAACGTAGTCTGCAATCTCTCAATCATTCTTTCACTGTGAAGCTGCAATCTCGAGCCAACTATTCGTCTTGGCGTCTTCAGTTTACTCCTTTATTGACTATGTTTCGTGTTGCCGGTATTGTCGACGGCACCGACCCTGCACCGCCACGTTTTCTTCCTTCCGTCAGTGGTGCCGTGCCCCAACTCAATCCTGAGTTTGATATCTGGCAGCAAAAGGATCAGCCGGTCCTCTCTTGGATTCTTTCTTCCGTTGCTGAAGACATTTTTCCCATTCTCCAGGGCTGCACAATGTCGGCGGCTGCCTGGACAGCTCTTCAGCAAGGTTTCGGCACTCTTTCTTATGCTCAACAGACCCAGTTTGTTATGGAGCTCTACAGCTTGCAAAAAGGTGACTTGTCGGTCATGGCTCTCCTCTCCAAAGTGAAGGGTATCGCAGATACACTGCAGCTTGCCGGCCATCGCATATCTCCTGCGGAGTTCAATGCTATCATCTTCCGCAAGCTTGGTGCCGAATTCAATGGCATCATCGGAGCTTTGCAGCAGCGATCCGAACCCCCCTCCTATCAAGATCTCCTTGGTCAGTTAGTTTCGTATGAGGTGCTTCTTCACGCCCAACAGCCGGTCCTTCAGCCAACGGCCATGCTTGTGCAGTCGCCACCTTCTCCTACGCCGCCTCAATCCTCTCGTGCCGGTCGCTCGCAACGTGGCGGCCGGCGCAATCAGGTTTCTGGTCGTGGTGGTGGTCGGCGTGGGTACACCCCTCCCGCTCCGGGTGAGACGTGTCAGCTTTGCGGCATCTTGAATCACACGGCCGCCACTTGACGCCGCCGTTTTGATACTAAATTTGTTCCTCGACCCCCAGCCGTTCGGTCGGCTGCTTATGCCCAGGCAGTTTCTCTTGCACCGCCTTCAGCTGGTTTGTTGCCTCTTCCGTCTTACCCGGAGTCGACTATGTCTCCTCAAGCCCATATGGCGCAGTATGCCCCTTCTGTCACTCCCTGGCATCCGGACACTGGTGCTACCGATCATGTCACGCCAGATTTGTCCTCTCTCAGTATCTCCAATGATTATACTGGTACGGATCATATTTTAGTTGGTAATGGAGATACTTTACCCATTCAGCATGTTGGTCAATCTGTCTTGCCATCGTTTTCTCGTCCTCTTTATTTAAATCGTGTCTTGCATGTTCCTTCTCTTACTAAGCCTCTGTTATCTGTTCAAAAGTTTACCCGTGATAATCACTGTTTTTTTGAATTTTATTCTGACTCTTGTTGTGTTAAGGATCTTTCAACCAAGGAACTCCTCCTCCGCGGTCGGGCTGATAATGGTCTCTATCGCTTAGATCTTCCTGCTCGTGGTTCCTTGTATCCAGCAGCTTATCTTGTCTCTTTAGGTCAGTGGCATGCTCGTTTAGGGCACCCTAATAATGTCACTCTTCGTACTTTGGTTAGGCAGTTTCAACTTCCTTATTCCTCTGTGTCCACGTCCACTGATAAATGTGAGGCGTGTTGTTTAGGGAAGTTACATAGGGTCAGTTTACCTTCTACTTTTCATCGTAGCTCTAACCCTCTTGATTTAATTCACACTGATGTTTGGGGTCCTGCTCCTATTTTGTCATTCAATGGTTATCGCTACTTTGTGCTTTTTATTGATGACTTCTCTTTATTCACATGGATTTATCCCATTAAGTATAAAAGTGATGTTGTCCATGTTTTCAAGCAATTCAAAGCTCTCGTAGAAAACCGATTTGGCACTACCATTAAAAGTGTTAACTCTGATTGGGATGGTGAATTTCGTTCTCTCAATTCTTTCTTTAAGGATGTCGGTATTGTTCATCGTTTAGCGTGCCCGCACACTCATGAGCAGAATGGCACTGCTGAACGCAAAATTCGTCACATTGTCGACATTGGACTTGCTCTCCTTGGTCATTCCAGTACCCCTTTTCAGTTTTGGGATTTTGCTTTTAAAACTGCTGTGTTTTTGATTAATCGCCACCCTAGTAAACCTCTTCAAGGTCACCTACCCTTCACTACACTATATCACCAGCCACCTGATTATACCTTTCTTCGTGTCTTTGGATGCGCTGTCTATCCTCTTCTTCGCCCTTATAATAAACATAAATTCTCCTTTCGTTCTACTCAGTGTGTCTTTCTTGGGTATTCTCCATCTCATCTTGGTTATCGCTGTTTTGATGTGGTGAATAACCGTCTTTATGTTGCTCGTCACGTTGAGTTTGATGAGAAACTCTTCCCCTTTAAACATCCTATTTCTAGTTCTCCTTCTTCGCTGCTGGAGTCTCCTGCTACCCCTTGGTTGCGTGTAACCAATTCTCTTGGTATGCTTGCGTCATCTTCTGCGTCTTCTTCGTCTCCTTCTAGTACACCAGTTCTTTCGTCTCCTCCTATCCCTCCCGACTCATCACCTTTAGCTAGGTCTCCTGCATCCAGCTCTTCATCATCTGATTGTAGTCCTTCGCCGCCACCTCCTCCTCCTTCTTCCCGTCAGCACTCAATGACACTTCGTCCACAACCCAAGCCCAAGAAAATCTTTGATCCCTCGGCTCATCTTACCTCTGTTTCCCCAGCCTTGTCTACTGCTCCTACATCCTTCACCCAAGCCAAATCTCTTCCTCAGTGGCAGAATGCCATGAAGGATGAAATTTCCGCCCTCCTCAAAAATAACACATGGACTTTAGTTCCCCCTCCTTCCTCCGACAATGTTGTCAGCAATCGATGGCTCTATAAGATTAAAACCCATGCTGATGGCTCCATTGAGCGGTATAAGGCTCGGTTGGTGGCTCGAGGTTTTACTCAGTCTTTTGGGGTTGATTACATTGACACATTTAGTCCGGTTGTTAAGCCGGTCACCATTCGTTCAGTTTTGACTGTTGCTCTGGCTCGTGGATGGTCGATTTCTCAGCTTGATGTCAGTAATGCCTTTCTTAATGGTGTTCTAAGTGAGACCGTGTATATGGTTCAGCCATAGGGGTTTGTTGATCCGGTGCGCCCTCATTATGTGTGTAAACTGCATAAGTCCTTATATGGTCTTAAGCAAGCTCCTCGGGCCTGGTATTCTCGGCTGGCAGCATTTCTACTTACCTTGGGTTTTGTGGAGTCTCGTTGTGATCCGTCTCTTTTGTCTATCGACGTGGGTCTCGGTTGTGTTTTTTGGTCTATGTGGATGACATTATTCTTACAGTAGCACTTCGGTTTGGTCCAAGATTTTATCTCTTGTCTTGCTAAGGAGTTTTCTCTTGGGATTTAGGTCCATTGAGTTACTTTCTTGGGGTCGAGGTTCGTCGTACTTCCAAGGGTTTGCTTCTCTCTCGGTAAGTATGTCACGATTTGCTACGACTTGCAAATATGCATACTTGCAAACCTGTTCCACTCCTTTGCCAGGCTAATGTTGTGTTGTCCCGTTTGGATGGTACTCTGTTGTCTCCTGATGATGCGACTACTTATCGTCGGCTGTGTGGCAGTCTGCAGTATACCACTCTCACTCGTCCAGATATCTCCTTTGCGGTTAATAAGCTTTGTCAGTTCATGCATCAGCCTTGCGCTTCTCATTTTCAGGCTCTCAAACGGGTTCTTCGCTATCTTCGTGGTACCGTTGATTGCTGTTTAGTTCTGCATCCTACAAATTTGAGTACTCTTACTGCGTTTAGTGATGCTGACTGGGATGGTTGTCCGGATGATCGTCGTTCTACTACTGATTTTTTCATTTATTTGAGACCTAATCTCATTGCCTGGGCATCTAGGAAGCAACCCACTGTGGCTCGCTCGTCTACTGAGGCTGAGTTTCGTGCGGTTGCTAATGTCTGTGTTGAACTGCATTGGGTGTGTCATCTGTTGTCCGAGTTAGGCGTTTCTTTACATCGCCTCCCTCTATTTGGTGTGACAACAGTAGTGCAGTTTTCCTTGCTGTCAATCCTGTATTCCATGCTCGTACAAGACATGTTGAGGTTGATTTTCACTTTGTTCGAGATCATGTTCGGCGTAAGTTTGTTTCGGTCAATTCTATTTCTGCTGCTGATCAGCTTGCTGATATTCTGACCAAACCCTTGTCCAAAGAGTTATTCTTTCACTTTCGGGACAAACTTCGGCTTCTCTCTTCTCCGCCGTAAGTTTGCGGGGGCGTATTGTAATATTTAGTATATTTCCTATTATGTCCAAGATTAGGGTTTGTTATTGTCTATATATAGTCTGTATATTATGCACAATACATGATGAATCAAATACAATTTCCCTATTCTAAGTAACGTCACCTTTAACTTGAACGTTAGGTCATTTCCAACAAAAAGTGTAATGATATAGCTTTTTATAAAAGTAGCATTTAATCTAACTTGGCTAAACAGAAATGAAAAGATAGAAATAGGGTTTCATAAGCAGAAGAAGGAAAGAAAGGGAATCAGGAAGGAGAAAGAAAGGAGAGAAAAGGATGAGAGGAAAAAAGATAGAAAGGAATCTTTCATTCAATCAAGCATAATCCTCAATCACCAGAACAATTCCTTTTTATCAGCTTAATTCTAAGGATTATCTAACCATGATTAACAAAAGAAACTACTAGGATGAGTTTGGAAACAGCTGTCTCTCAAGATAATGTATGGATCGTTTTTTCATTGTGTGTTTTAGATGTTTTTTTGTATTAAGAATGTAAAAAGTGTATTGAAAATGTAAAAAGTTACGCAGATAATGGTTAGATCGTTTTTTTCAGTGTGTGTTTTAGATATTTTTTTTGTATTAAGAATGTAAAAAATGTATTGAAAATGTAAAAAGTTACGTTCAGATAGAACATTGTTAATAAATTATTTTAAAATATTATCAAGAAAAGGAAACAAACAAAGGTGGCGTGCATGGCGGGTGCGTACTACATACTCCTTCTGTCCCAATTCAATAGGCTCAAATCAATTTTTACGCGGATTAATAAAACTAACTTAACTAACTACTTTTACCTTAATTCCTAAAATGCCCTCAAGAAGACATTAATAAATTAGTGGAACAATAGTTAAATTTATTCTTGAAAATTGTTAAAACCAACGTGAATCATTCATTGCAAATTCAAATTTCTCATCTCAACTCATTGATTTTTTGTTTTTATTTTTTGTCTCATTTCATTGATCTCAATACTTTTAAAAATGTTTAAGTATTTAATTGAAAAAGGCACATGTGAAATTTCACTAGAAAAATAAATTTCATATATGGAAACCAACTTATTTAGTGAGATATCCAAAAATAGGAAAGCCAGCGGCCGGCCTATTAAAATGGGACGGAAGTAATAATTCAGAATTTAGAAACAAAAGGTCAATTAAAAACGACATGAGTCTTAAAAACAAGATATAAACCCTAATTCATTCAGTTTTAGCCTTCCATGACAAAAAGCCTCATAATTCTATTGGCCCAAGGTAAGGTACTGGGCCACTAAGATAGGGCCATTTGCTCATTCTTCAAATGGGCTAAAATCCAAGGTCCAATGGACTCCTATTTCCAATGAATTTTCTTTCTTCATTGTTCAAAAATATATACAGTACATAAAAGAAGAAAAAGAAATACAGTGGAATCATTTTATACGTTTCTGCTGACGCCACAGTGGATAAACCTTCCTTCTTCTTCAATTCCTTAAACCCATCCTCCGACCTTCATCAGAAGCTGAAGAAGAAAAGGTATGCATTTTCCCCAATAATTGGATTAATGTTGTCAATAACGTTTAGCTAATCTGTGTCTGTCTTGCTTGTCGAACTTGAAAGCTTCTCTTGTTTTGTTTCTTGAGTTTTCCTTCAAGATGAAAATTTAGCTATGTCTGTAAAGTTTTCTCACTCACTCAACTTTTTTTTATTTTTTTTATCATTTCCGGTTTTGGAGTTTATCCCGGGAGATTTTTTATGTTAGATAACGCCACAAAGGCCGAGTAGAGCTTGCTGTTTTTATGTTTAAGAATTTTCATGGGATTTTTTGTTCTTTTGATAATGAGCTTATTTTGTTATGATGAGCTTTCGTTATCTATTTGTCTCTTATGGAGTTCAAAGTTCAAGCCTTTAGATAAAAGAATAATTCTTCCCACTGTGGTTTCAAGTTGGGTTACTGGGTAGTGGGTATTACGGTGTTTTTCGGTTTTCAGAGGAAGGTTTTATCATGAGAAGAGGAACCCAAAAGAAAATTAATGAAATAATGTTAGGATCTGTTTCATTCAATGTTTCTTAAAGCTTGAAGTACCCATTTTGTTAACCGTAATGCAAGACTGTTCTGCTAGTCTCATTGTTGGTAATTTGACACTTCTAGAAAAATTTAGAATTAAGTGATTTCCAGCTCTGTCAGCTAGTACAGTTAAAGTATCAATTGGAACCTTTTTTTTTTAAAGTATCTGATGTGTTTTTAACAATGAAGTCGAATTGGTTTTGCTTTGTTACCTTTAATGGGGAAATTTTTGTAAGTGATAATGAGAACATACACTCCTTTTTCTAAGAAATTTAAGAGTTTTTGTTATATGCTTGAGAATTTCTTTTATAGTACCCCATATGCTCAAAGTCATTACTCCTATTATCCCAGGTTTTTATATTTAAGAATTCATTACTTCCACTCCATTTTCAGTTCTTCTCAATTTTTTTATGTGGAATTTATTTTCATAAAAAAAAATGCGCGCACACACACACACACACTCACGAACAGAACATGTTATTTACGAAAATTAAAATAAATCAAAATTTATGTTTTAAAAAATACATCTAATCTGTTGGACTTTCACAAATGCAGTCGCCAAAGTAGTTGATAAACCCACCTGAAACCTTTCATCTGCTTCCTTCTTCCTCCTAAATTGCCTAAGCCCATCCCCTTCACTTCCATCAGAAGCTGAGAAAAAGGTGTGCATTCTTCCCTACAATTGGAATATGGTCAACAAATGTTAGCTGTTCTCTGTCTAATATGATATGCTTGTTGATATTGAAGCTTCTTATTCCATAGTTTTTTCCCACAAAATCGTTAAATAAATCCAGGAGCATGAGCTATTCTTTGTTTATAAAGTGTTCCCTTTGATTAGGCTTGTCTAATTCTGCAATTTCCCGCTTTGAGGTTTGTCCCACGAGATTTTGGCATAATCCCGGAAGAGCTAGCTGTTCTCTGTTTCTGAAATTTGTGTGTCATTATATGTGTATCGATTTTGTTGTTATATGCTTTCGCAATCTGTTTAACCTTACGGAGTTCAAAGTTGAATTCTATTTGGTGAATTTTTCTTTTATTTCTTTTAAAATTAGTTCAGTAGGAAGAGTACAGTGGATTGGGTATTTTGGCTTTTAGCTTGTAAGGGAATGTTATGACAGAAAAGTAAAGAATAGATTGTTCTGTTAACTTCTGTTTCATACATATTGCAGAAAGTTCGATGCTTTTATTTTGTTCAATGTAGTTAACTTAAATCTTGTGAGGCTGCTGGTTCATTGATAAGATGCCACTTCTAGAAAACTTAAAATCAGGTCATGCTCAGACCTTTCAGCTGATATAGTTTATTAGAAATCTAATCCGAGTTAGGATTGTCTTCTATAGTGTATTTGGACTGTTGAACTTTTGAATGGTGCATTCTTCTAAGTTCTTGCTGACTTTTATCATATAGCTATGGATAAATAAATGGCCTTTTGATTCGGTGTGTTTTGATTGAGTATATGCTGAACTTGGTAGCTTCACAACATATTTGAAGAATAAAATGTTGGTGACTTCCTCCTAACAGAGTGATAACGATTAATCATCTCAATTTCTTTTCCGAAGAAACAAAGGTTTCCCATCCTTCTTTCAGTTATTTCCTTCACAAGTTTTTGTTGCAGGAGTTTATTGCTTTGATAGTGTATTTGATAGGTTTTCTGCAGGTGCATTGAAGATCCCTACTTTGTTTTACTTCCTGTCATTGTGTATGGAACAGACTCAATACTATTGTGTATGTGTGTGTGTTATTTTCCCCGAGTAAGAGTGGATTTAGGATATGTATATTTGATCATGAAAGCTAATCAATCGAAAAAAGTGGATAACTTTTTGTTCAGCTTTGTTGTTGTGATTGAAAGCAAAACTTGTTTAATTGGCTTTGTATTTTCCTTATGCTAAGTTTATCTTCAGTGTGTGAACATCATACAGGGAATAAGCTTATATAAAAAATATTTTTTCCTATCTACAAACCGATAATGTTATGACAAGTTGAAGCAAAGTCTGTGTTCCAATTTTGCAGGTTTTTTTGGGCTGGATTGAGTTTTTTTCACATGGCCAGTCTCACTAGCACCCCTCTTTGGAATTCCTGTACCATAAAAAGGAATGGCAGTGAGCATGAATTCTCATGTAGGTATCCTAGGCAATATCAAGCTATTAAAGCAATGAAAATAGAGAAATCACTTGAGGAGTTATATAATGTAAAGGTGGAAAGAAAGGTGTCGAAAGCACGGCTAGCAGAGCTGGGTGTGTCAAAATGGTCAGTTTGGAAAACAGGAAAGTGCCAGCTTCCTTGGGATTGGCATGTTGATCAGTTGGTATATGTTGAGGAAGGAGAGGTACGAGTGGTGCCAGATGGGAGCGAACGCTACATGCGATTTGTGGCTGGTGACCTTATTCGCTACCCAAAATGGTTTGAAGCGGACCTCTGGTTTAATGATTTTTACCAAGAGCGTTATAGATTTCTGGCTTATGGAGATGAGTAGCAATTGTATGCTGGGTTGCTAATGGTAGTTTGAACGAAGTTAGATCAATTAGCTTGTCATAAGTAGCTGGTGCTCTGAACTGAACGCCCAATGGTTGAGAGCTATATAGTCTAGTTATGAATTACATGTGTGGAAATCATTTTTGAAGATTGTAGAGTTCTATCTTAATGTATTTTATTTTAACATTCCAGTCTTAGGATTTGTAAGTACTATGTTTGTTGATCACACCAGATAAACTTTGAAATCAATGTGTTCTATTCTGCGGTTGGATTCTGATCAGAATCTCTTGCATTGCTAATAGGGATGTCGATTCCTCTTCTCCTAATTGCTGCAATTTGGTGGGAATATCATCCCATTCATCTTTGTTGATCGGACCGAATGTTTCTTTTGGTTGGGTGGTGAAATTTGAAGTGACCGGAACAAGGTTAGCTGGGAAGCTATCGCAGTCTTTGGGCAACTTGGACCAGCTCAGGGCAGTAAACCTGTTGATAAATTACCTGAGAGGTTCAATTCCTCCAACGATGTTACATTTGTCAAACTTAGAGGTTACAGGTTTCAGTTACAATCAGTTTATTGGGGCTTCTTCCGGAATTTTCAACATTTCAGAGAATCCATTTTCAGGTCCTGCGCTAGTGGGAATATGTGGCAATTCAGTTGAAATTCAGGATTTGAGGATGGGACTCGGGAGCGAATTATTTCACTGGAATTTGGCCTCGCATCGGACGTTATTCATGGTGGTTCACTGAAGGTATCTTTCAATTGAAAATTTTGGATAGATTGAATCTGCAGGACAACAGATTCTCAGGGAACCTTAACTGACAACAATGGTAACCTCTCCCTAGTCTTATTCAACTTAATAGTTTCAGTATGTTGAATTATTTTGCTTCTCAATCAGATAAGTTCACTGGAACGTCAATCGTTGGCGAGTTCCCCAACTATAAGCTAAGCTCCTTTAATCTGAAAAATTATTCTTTGGGTGATGCAGTAGATCTTGATTGTGCTGCAATGATCAGTCTTGTTCACTTGGTAGCAATCAGTTTACGCAGGTTCATCCCTGATAACCTTGCTGGCTGTCCACGGTTGAAAACCATAGATCACTTTACATTGATAACTATCACTTGCACTGGAATCTTTACAGCTAGCCGTTGTAGGAACTTACTCAATTAAAGAGTCTTGTAAAAGAATTCTTCAGATGAACCATATCTTCAATTCCCATTGAAGAAAAATGTTGCTGCAGTATGATCAAACTTTTAGCCTTCCACCAACATAATAACTTCCCTATTTGACCCTTTTGGCCGGAGTTTGGAAAAAATCAAAATCTTAATCTTTTTATCAATTACGTTTGTCTCATGACGAAGCATGGATCTGTATGGTGCCTTAGAACGGGCGGCGATGATGATCTAGGCGGCGGCGGACGGCCTAAAACCTGCAAGACGAAGCGTCGGGTGTCTCCCAAGGGTAGACTTTCCAATAATTAAGTCAATAAAGGAATAGAGAGAATAAAGAGAGAGGGATGTGTATCGTGTGTAGAAGGTGTGGAAGATAGGTAGAAGGTATGAATTATGGGAGAGGCATAGAGGTGGTGTTACATGTTTCCTGAAACCCTAGCAAAATAGGTTTAGGCGGTAGCTTAATCTCTAAGTAACTTAATCCTAGGCCCAATAGGCCTATGGTTTATTTTGGACTCGTCAAGTGCCCCTAGCAAGCCGTATTCTCGAGACTTGATGAGAAGGATATGGGTTGTTACGAGTGTTGATGTCTTCTCGTAGTGTTGCCCCAGTTCTCGGGTGTCACTTATAGAAAGATAAAGAGAATAAAATGCCTCAAGGAGGTCTTTGTGTTATGAGTTCCTGATTGGCAGGGGAAGCCTGTGTATGCCGAATTAGGAGGATGTCGCCTAGATTTTCTTATTTGAAGGTGAGAAGCCTATAGTGCCTGTCGTGCAGGTCTTGTGGCTGTACCCATCTAGTAGGTCTTATTTGGCCGTTGCCCGACTAGCAGGTCTTTACGGGTCGTGCCCGACTAGCAGGTCTTATTTAAATATGGTGCCCGACTAGCAGGTCTTTGTGGGTCGTGCCCGACTAACAGCTCTTATTTAAACACGATGCCCGACTAGCAGGTCTTTGTGGGTCGTGCCCGACTAGCAGGTTTTTTAGTTCCTTTCTGATGTGGGGTGGTCCCCAATGCTTGATTTGAAGGGTGGCCCCTATATGTTTGGATGCTCGATCTTGGTTTCCAGTTAATTTAATTACTCGAGAAGGTGTTACTTCGATTCCGAGAAGGTATTATTTGGGTAGATGAAAGTCGAGATACGTCTTCTCGAACACTTCGAATAGTAGTAAGGTGCTCAAGGGATGGTTGCCCCTTCGAGGAGATGTATCTTCTCGAACACTTCGTATAGTAATATGGTGCTCGAGGAGTTGTTGCCCCTTCGAAGAGATGTATCTCTCGAAACTCCAATCTTCGAGATTACCCCTAGCTAATTGTTCTTCTCGATCAGCTGTGGAGCAAGTCCAGCTCCTCAAAGCTTCTTTGTGCTACTTGTCGGCTGACGTCTTCTTGGCCAAAGAAAGATAATTTTTTTCGCGTGATCTTCTTATTGCAAAATCGGAGCAACGAATTAACACCGTGGCTGCGAAAGATACAAAAGATTTCGTACTTCGCTAAGAAATTTATTTGGTTGTAAGGACCAAACAAATCGGTTCCGCTGGGGGTGACACTTGACGAAGCATGGATCTGCACGGTGCCTTAGGACGGGCGGCGATGGGCCGCGGCGGACGACCTAAAACCTGTAAGACGAAGCCTCGGGTGTCTCCCGAGGGTAGACTCTCCGATACTTAAGTCAATAAAGGAATAGAGAAAATAAAGAGAGAGGGATGTGTATCGTGTGTAGAAGGTGTAGAAGATAAGTAGAATGTATGAATTATGGGAGAGGCACCACCTCTTTATATAGAAGTGGTGTTACCTGTTTCCTGAAATCCTAGCGGAATAGGTTTAGGTGGTGGCTTAATCTCCAAATAACCTAATCCTAGGCCCAGTAGGCATAAGGTTTATTTGGACTCGTCATCTTATAACTGGTTTTTAGTGTTTTAAGTTTTGCCTTTTTACTGTATTAAAAGAAAAAGAAACTGACAAGTTCCAGTTACTTAATTTGGACGGATGGGATATATGTAAAGAAAATATGCGAGTAATTTCAACAAACATCGTCGACTGTCAAAAAATATTCTTTCTGGGCAAAATTAAAAATTCAATGTGGACAAGTTTTTGAGACAGAGGGAATATTTAATGTAACAAACATAATCCGTTACTAATTTTTCTTTGACAAATTAATAATTGAATGAAACGCAATACCATATAAAAAAAAAAAGGAAGAAAAATTAGCACACCTTCAATTTGCTCGTGGTCATACATTTTATAAAACCTCAAACAAAATGATCTTGCAACATAAACATAAATAAACCCTCCTTCACTAAGGAGTCTCCCAATCCCTCCAATGAGAAAAATCTTGTGGAGTCGGGACTATTGGCACCAGTAACATAGAAACCGTAAGATCTTACGGTCACTGTTTGTAGGCACGACGTTGCTTTGTTTAATTAATGCAATTTGTAGTATTTTTCCTCAAAAAAAAAAAAAAGTAAGATCTACGGACCAATAAACATTTCCTTGCCAATCAGTTATATCATCAGACAGAGCAACAGCAATAACACTTGCAAATACATCAAACGAAGTCTTTTGACTAAGAAAGTGACAGTTCCAATAGGTTGTACCTTCTGAATTCAGCCCAGATTCTCCATCAGTTCTTCCCTTAGCTCCTCCTGGCATCACAGTACTAGACATATTAAACAACCAGCCTGGATGCAGGATTTTTATACTACCTTTCACTGTATTTCTCCAACAGACCCCCTTTTCTTTCAGATTCTACATGTTCTTTTTCGCATGCATATAAGTCTTTTGTTGCCAATGTATCTGATTCTCTGGAACCTAGTACTTATAATCAAGCACGAACTAATGTTGAATCGAAGGAGGCCATGGATAAAGAACTACAGGCCCTGGAACTTAATGATACTTGGATTCTCACTAAGCTTCCTCCTGGAAAAAAAGCTATTGGGTCCAAGTAGGTTTACAAGATTAAACGCAAAGCTGATGGTACTGTGGATCATTATAAAGCAAGGTTAGTAGCAAAATGCTACACTCAGGTCGAGGGTGAAGATTTTTGTGAAGTGTTTTCACCAGTGGCAAAAGTGGTAACTGTTCGTCTTGTGTTTCCTATTGCTGCATAAAAAATGTGGCCAGTTCATCAACTAGATGTAAATAATGCCTTTCTCCATAGCTCGTTGGATGAAGATGTTTACATGGTACCACCAATGGGGTATGATAAAGCTCTCCCTGGCCAAGTTTGCAAACTCCAGAAATCGTTGTATGGGTTAAAACAAGCTTCACGCCAGTGGAACTTGGAGTTCTCAGCCAAACTTGCTGCTTATGGTTTCAAGCAATCATATCACGATCCATGTCTTTTTTGCTATGTGACTTCTACAGTTCAATTATTCCTCTTGGTATAGGTGGATGATGTTGACAGATGAGGCAGAACTTCACAAAGTTAAGGCGTATCTTCATGAGCTTTTCACCATCAAAGACATGGGATCTGCCAAATATTTCTTCAGGATGGAAATTGCACGCTCCCCTCATAGAATTTATATCAGTCAACGGAAGTACATTCTTGATCTTCTACAAACAGCTGGTCTTTTGGATTTCACTCCTGTCTCTACTCCTTTACCACCAGGATTGCATTTTTCTCCTCTTGATAAAGAATCTACTGCTCCGTGTTCTGATCCAGCTCAGTATAGACGATTAATTGGTCGTCTCTTGTACTTCAATTATACACGACCCAACATCACTCATGATGTCCAACAGCTTAGCCAATTTGTACACAGTCCTCATGATTTGCATTGGATGGCAGCAGTTCATGTTCTGAAATATCTGTCAGGGAGTGTTGGCCGTGGTTTTGTTCTACTCTAGTTCCTCTCCTTTCTCCCTTGTGGCTTACAGTGACTCGGATTGGGGCTCCTGTCGTACTTCTCGCCATTCCTTGATTGGTTATTGCGTGTTCTTGGGAAGCAGTCTCGCTCCTGGAAGACTAAGAAATAGGCCACAATTTCCTGTTCTTCGGCGGAGGCCGAATATCGTGCCATGGCAGTAAAGCGGCTTTAGACATTACTGCCAATGGATCGCTTATATACTTCGCGATTTTCAGATTACCATTCCATTGCCAATCGATTTTCGCTGTGATAGTAAAGCGGCTTTGGACATTACTGCCAACCCTGGTTTTCACGAACGAACGAAGCATGTCGAGATTGATTGCCACGTTGTTCGTGATCAACATAAGGCGGGATTTCTTCTTCCGGGATTTCTTCTTCCTACTCACGTTTCTACTTCTCAGCAACTCGCAGATTTGTTTACTAAAGCTCTTCCCTCTTTTGTGTTTGCAGATTTACTCTCCAAGATGAGCATTTGGAATGCTCCTCTTGAGGCGGGGGGGGGGTGGGGGGGGGGGTGGTAATGAATATTCAGCCACCAGAAGCAACAGCATCACAACGTTAGCTGCAAGATTTGAACACGAGACCTCCTGCGTCCTTACTGGAAGACTTGATAGTACTCAACAGCTGATCTTAGCTCTGAAGATGAAAGTTGGCGACCTAGAATCACCTGGAAGAATCCAGCTGGAATAATTTTAGTTTAGAGTCGGTGATTCCTGCTGTAGATATATGGATTTAGAGTAGCTTGGAAAACACACAAAAAGTGAGATTGTATTTTTGCTCTAAAGTGAATAACTGTCTTTGTTCTTGTTGCAAGTTTTTCCCCAAATTTCGTTCGTCTCTCTATCTGATTATATCCTCGTGAATTTCTTCTTCTTGATCTTCTGATTTCCTTCATGTTGACTGCATTTTCCTTCAGTTGACCGATAATATTTTTTCTGTTCAATTAAATGTTTTAGCTCAATTGATAAATAAGCTCCAAGAGCGTGTCGTAAAAAAATTATGTTAAAGTAGTAGTTTCCTAAATCTCAAGAATTTAACTATTTGAATTTGAAGATAAGATTTATTAAGACGAGAGATTATATAGAAGATAGGGCAAATTATCTAGTATACCCGGGGGCACCGTGCCCCCCTCCTATTTTTTGCATTTTTAGCCCTTATTGTACTTTTTATCAATCTTTCTATATTTTACAAGTATAGTCCCTGTCATTTTTTCTCTCTCTTCAAAAAAAAAAATCTCTAATCTTTCAACGAGCATATCTCCCAATCCGTAAAGAACATTTGTGAACGAATTATATATGAAATTTATAGTACTCATCGAGATCTATCCAACGAAATCCACAG